GGGGCTGAGGCAGGAGAATTGCTTGAACCCTGGAGGCGGAGGTTGCAGTGAGCTGAGATTGCGCCACTGCACTCCTGCCTGGCGCCTGGTGACAGAGCGAGACTCTGCCTCCAAAAAAAAAAAAAAAAGAAAAAAAGAAAAGAAAAGAATAGAAACTCCAACGTCAATTGCTTGTTGAAGTTAGAGCTTAAAATATTACCAAATTCAAATTATTGTATTTACTAATTATCCATCAAAATGGGAACCAGTGGGCTTTCTCAATGCATGGAAATACACACATAATACCCATACACAGGGTAACGTTAAATGAAAATATTACACAAAATAGTATACATGTGCCAACTATGCCATAAAAACAAATATCTATCATTGATAAAGGTCAGAAGAAATTTTGAAACAATGTGCCAGTGATCTAACACTCACTAGTTTGCTCATGCTCTTTAAATTTGGAAAATTTTTCTTGGTAAATATTCAGCCTTTTTCATATATGTACATTTAAGGTACATTTAAGACGCATTTCCTGAGAATGTAAATACTCAAGAGGAATAAGCAGGAGTTAATGAGGAAAATCTTAATTTGCATTCCTCCTGCCTCAAATGCCTGAAATATCTTGGATATAATGTTGTGTGAATAAGGCTTTTACTGTTTAATGTGATAGGACTTAAACATTCTCTTTTTGCTAGGGCCTATAAAACATTTGCTATTAATAAAAAGCCACTACTTTTCATTTTTATCTACCAAATTTACTAAGGAAGAAAAAATATGCCAAGGCTTCTATTGGTCTGCTCAAATCTTTTCTATTATCTGGCAAATAAATGTCACTTCTTTTAAATCTGTCCACTTGGAAAGGGATATTAGGTGGTCTGTCCTGAACATGACAGTTCACGTAGTAGGGCTCTGACTTGTCAACTTGCTTCTGACTGTGTCTTTTGGTCTTCCCCACAGTCTTTTTGAAGTAAATAAGGTAATATTTCTATAGCCATCGGACATGCTGAAACTGAAATATATCTTCCCCAATTCTGCACACTAATAACAGTAAAACCTTGGCTTAACACCAGAGGTGAAGTCCAAAACGTTCAACCAGGAAAGCACAGGTTTGCTATATTTTGAGATTAATCGAGTGACCAGGATAAATCTATGCAACTGGTCTGCCTGGGCCTTCCAGTGCTCTCGCTGAGGAATACAAACTCACCCTGGCCCCAGTTGTGATTCAGCACCAGCCACTGTCCACTCCAGTTTAAATCCTGATGGGGATGATTCCAAGGCTGACTGCAGTGTCCAAAATAACAGCAAGGATTCCAGGAATCTCCCAGGTAGCTGAGCCCTATTTCTTCAGATTGATCCAGAGAGACTGAGCTTGGAGAATATAGGGAACATGGAGACCCCACTTCCCAAGACAAGATTGCCTGCCATTTTCTCACCTACCCTACCCCTCCTCTCAACATCCCGTCTTCCACCACTGAAGACAAGAACTTCATCACCCACCCCTCACCAAGAATGAAGGCTGCAGGGGGTGTGGAACCTATTTCAAGTGATATCAGATCCAATATAGAGTTTTCTTGATTTGTGTTTCTTCTTTGTATTTGTAGACCCAGACATAGAAGACGGTTCACCCCATTTCTAGAGCAAAGCCCTTTCTCTACTTTGCTGGCAAACTTCCAAATTATTTCCCTCTCAATTAGCGTCCCAGGTTACAGAGAGCATCCTGTGCCTGCATAGTTTTTGTCTAACTCCTTCCTGTGAAAGGTAGAGCAGACCCAGACAAAATCAAAAACCTAGTTCCTCACCCAATTTCCCAAGCCTGGAGTTGCCATTGCACAGATGACAGAGAAAAAGGTGAGGGAGTGGGGTGGAAAAGAACTGAATCATTCTTTCACGTTTCAATGTGTTTTGCAGGTTACTGACTCAATACAGCTCATAAATTCTGCCTGCATCCCACAAGCCACTTGCTTACTCACTATCTCTGCTAAACGTACCTTGTGAGTTTCATCCATTCTATTTGTTTTTCAGGTCTTGTCTGGCAGAATTGAATATTCTCAAATCCTACAGTAAACACACATTGTAAGCAGAAAGATGTAGGGAAAAATAAGATAAAACACAGAGAAAAGTTTTGCTTTATAGTGGCAGGAGAAATAGAAACTCAAAAAGAGAACAGCTGAGTCACAGTAACGGTGGAGTTTTGAGCAGAAAGCAGTGGACACTGAATGCTCAGAGGTGACAAAGTACCGATCACTGAGACTGCATGATCCTCAGTGATTTACTGGGAGCCTTCTTTCCATGGGGTTGTTTTTGGTTCTTTGAAGAAGTTAAATTATCATTAATACAGGTGCATACCAGGATGCCATACTTGCTGAACACCCCCCTCCCTCTTCCAGACTTCACTGTGCTGGCAATCACACTTAGAATAAGAATAAGGACAGGGATTTCATAGAGGCAATTGAAAAAGGAGGAGCAGAAGCAGCTCAGGGACCCACAGAAAATATACAGCATGGGATGACTGCTGCATTTGAACACATTTGTTTGTTCTAGGACTTATTTTGAAAGTAAACATAGTAAAGGGATTCATGTCTTAGCCCTTTGGATGATAAAAACAACAAGCATATTGCCCAATTTAGGCCATGTATTAGTTTCCTTGGCTGCCATATCAAAGCACCACAAGCTGGGTGTCTGGAAACAACAGACATTGATTGCCCCAGAATTCTGGAGGCTGCAAGTCTGAGATCCAGATGTCAGCAGGGTTAGTTCCTCCCTGGGGGTTTGCGAAAACATGTATTCCACGCCTCTCTTCCAGCTTCTCATGACAGCTGGCAATCCTTGCCATTAACTGGATTGTGGAAGCATCATTCGAACCTCTGCCTCCACCATGCATGGCCTTCCCCTGTGTCTTTGTTTCCGCCTCTTCTTCCTCTTCCTGTAAGCACCAATCATACTGGATTGGGGGCCCATCTTATTCCAGTATGATGTCCTCTTAATCAGTTACATCTGCAACCACTCTATTTCCAAACAAAGTCATATTCTGAGGTGGGGGGGCGGAGTTAAGACTTCAGCATACCTTTTTGAGAAATATAATTCAACCCATAACAGTCCACAATTGAGAAATATAAATTTGTATTTTGTTTATTTGGAGTACTCGTCCTCTGTCTCTCTGAAAGTAGGAGAATTGAGTTTTTCCCAGTTTAAAGATTTATGGTAGATTTCATATATAAACTGTTCTATGTATGACACAAAATGTTATACATGGTTATCTCACAAGAGTTATCTCTTAGGGGAAGGTGATGGGGGGCTTTCATTTCTCCATTGTAAATGACTATAATGTTTGTGTTTCTAAAACAAACCTATGTACTACTTTGTAATAAGAAAGAACAATAAAGACACATTTTCAAGAAGTGAATGGCTTTTCTTTCCCTCACAGCCTCTAGCATCAGAGTCTCCTTAGGAGAGGAATCTTTATGGGTGAGGAAAAGCAGGAGGCAGGGGAATGTGCCATTTGGAAAATTGTGTTAAAACCACAATTGCTTTGATGCACTTGTCTTTAGACATTACTTTAACTTACTTTAAATTTTAAAATACCGTTAAAGGAAGACTCAAGGTTTTCATGTTTACCCAAAGGGAACATGGGTTTTCAATATTGAAAAATGCGGAAGCTTCTTGCAACCACTCACAGAGGCTTCCTGTTAGCTAAGGCAAAATGAGAATATTGGCTTTTAAAGGTTTTATCCAAAGAAGGATGTCCAGATAAAATACAAGATACCCAGTCAAATTCAAATTTCAGACAAATAACAAATTTTTCCAGTATATGTTCCAACCATTGCATGAGACATACTTATCTAAAAAATTATTCCTCATTTGCCTGAAATTCAAACTTAACTGGGTATCCTTTATTGTTTATGTATTTATTTATTTATTTTTGAGACAGAGTCTTGCTCTGTTGTCCAGGCTGGAGTACAGCAGCACGACCATGGCTCACTGCAGCTTCGACATCCTGGGCTCAAGCAATCCTCCTGACTCAGCCTCCCCTGTAGCTGGGACCACAGGCACATGCCACCACACCTAACTAATTTGTTTTATTTCTGTAGAAACCGAGTTAACCTGTGTGGCCTAGGCTGGTCCCAAACTCCTGGGCTCAAGCAGTCCTCCTGCTTCAGCCTCCCAAAGTGCTGGGATTACTGGCACAAGCCACAGCACCTGGCTGGCACCCTTTATTTTTATTTGCTAAATCTGGCAGCCCTATTCCAAACATACCAATTTAGATAAGCTTTTTCTAAAAATTAGACCACAGGAGAGATTTGTCCCAGAAGTCACTCATAAAAAGAGCACTAAGAGGTTGTAGCTCATCACATTTCTCTTTGCTGATTTTGCACAAGCCATAGAAATGTGGTTCAAATGAATCCTATTTTTGTCAACATTTTGTATCAGGAGTTCTTGACAAATTGTGCAGGAGTTGCAGGGGGTCTGTGAACCTCCTGAAATCACACACCAATGTGCATTATTGTGTGGAAAGGAACCATAATTAGATTCTCAAAAATGTCTGAGACCCCGAAGAAGGTCAGAGGGCACCACCTTAATGACTGAGGCCATAGCTTTGAACTCAGAGAAGGTATTTTTTCTGAGGGCTTGGGCATTATTTTTCAGATTAATTACTTTTCAGATGATTGACTTTCTGATGGCCTAAACTGAAAAATGGAGGAAATCTCAGCAAATATAAGAGTGGGAAGTTTATCCGTCTGCTGAAGCATCCCTCTTGAATGTCTGAGATGCCAAATGTTCTGCATGTTTCACAGGAATTGAGTAGAAGCCAGGTCAAGGGTGGTGCTGATCACTGTGACTTCTCTGATAAAGTCTAAGGTTCAGAGGCATCTACCTTGAATACCAAAAGCCCTTAAAGAGAGAGATTGACAGCGGGAGACAGACAGAGAGCAATGCTCAGGCAATGACTTTTCTTACTACCTTTAGAAAATAAATGACCATTTTGAAAATCGCTACTTTATTGTTTTCCTTAGAACTCCTTCATCAGTCTACCAACAGCTCTTACTGATGAGCTCGACTGGCCCCAGCTCTCTGGTGCTACAGGATTTCTGGACTCCACTGTTGGGTAAGTGTGTTTGCATACCCTCAGACATCTTAATACATCTGTGTAAGGAAAGAACAAGAGATGGGGCTTGCTCCCAAGATATTGAAATAAGAATTGTTGAGAACTGCTTCTAAAACATGAATTCAAGTTCATCCACCATACAGTAGGATGTAAAGCAAATTGCATTTTAGCAGTGCTGGTAAGAAGCGCATATTCCTGCTATGGGTAGGGTGGGGTGGGGTTCCATAGTTTACTTCTGATGAAAAATACTAAACACATCACTGAAATTTTCTAATCCAAGGTAAAACAAAGTTTACTTGATTACTTATTCTCAGAAATTAATATTTATAAAGATAATGGCTGAAGCCAGTTGGTACTTCTCAAGGTCCTGGAATCATCCTGGCTTTAATGCCCAAGATTTGTAGGTAGAGACCAGGCCTGATGAGTTTGAGTGACACGCAAACCCAATTCACTACATATGCCTGGGTGTTAAGATCTGTGGTCTGCTTCCCAGGGCTATACCTGGCAGGGACACCTGTGATGCTGGTGAAACTTTGCAAGTGTCCCTAACATGGTAGAAAACCACAGATATGAGTCTATGGCCATCCCACCCTGAATACACCAGATCTTGTCTGCTCTCTGGAAGCTAAGCAGGGCCTGGTTAGTACTTGGATGGGAGAATGTCACAGATATGAGAGGTAATTTCTCTCCCAACATCCCCTAAACATTTATGACAGTTAATAAGCGCAAGGAATGTGGCAAATGAATGGCTTCCAAGTGTAAAAAAAGAAGAAAGAGTAGAAGTTTGCTTTTAGGTCTAAAGGCCGGACAGAACCAACTAGGAAGCCCCTCTCTGACTCAGGCAACAACACCAGAAGCCTGGAATGGACCATGAGATAAGCCATGAGAACTGTGAGGAGGGCAAGTATGCATGGGGCAAGATTTACCCAAATCTGTAAGGAGTAGGAACACCCCTAAGGGACAGACATTAATCATTTTAACAAGCAGTTATTCTAATGAACAAAGGATGCTGCGTACCATGAATATTTATTTGATGATCTTTACTCATTTACTTTAAAAATATTTCTTAAGTACCACCTAACCAAGCACTAATGTTGCAGGTGTTCATTTAAAGGTAAATAAGGCTTGTCCCATCTTTGTAGTCAATTACAATCAAGTAAGGCAGTTGAGACAAGTGAACTGATAATGGTAATGCAAGGGAGATGTACCAATGACAGGTCTCCCACAGAGAGAGCCGCCGGGCTCTGAGGAGAAAGAGCTCAGGGAAGTGATGAGCAGCCACTTCCTTTGGGGGAAAACACACAGGATACTGGGGTGATGAAATGCGTATAGAAGAAACTAGGAACGATAACTAGCCTTCAGGGAAACATATTCATATTTATGTAGACATCATCTGTGAATATAGGGAAAACTAAAGATGCGTTTTCCAGTGTAGTTATAAGTTTTCAAGCTTAATCACGTTTTTTTTAAAAAGGCTAGTCCTTGTCATTAGCATAAAAATACTAAAATACTTACTAATAGGGATAGTAAGAAGTAACTTTGAGAAGTAAGAAGTAACTATATGCCAAGCATTTACTGAGTTCATATAGAGATTCTCTTGTTTAACCTCCTTGTGAGGGGGTTTTGTTCTCTGCCTTTGCAGTTGAGGGAATCCAAGGGCAAATAGGCAGAATAAGAATCTTGACCAAGGTTGTTCAGCCAACAGTGGCAGGGTCTGTTTTCACAGAACCTTGTGTCATATCATAACAAAGATCTGTTCTTGCCTCCCATAATTTGGCCCACAACTCCCAAACTTTGTGTTGTTTTTATTCTTTGTGTGGGAATATGGCTCACTCTAACCATTGTCTCTCTGTGTGAGAGTATATCTATGGGATGGGGAAATACCTAAGAACCAAAGAAGTCCTCCCCATGTAGAGGTGTGGCCTGCACTGTTTCAGCCACCAATCACATGCCTCCTTAGGGTCCCAGTATGCCCAGATGTCCGGGACCTCCTGAACCCCAGTCTCAGTCCCCTCTTTCCTCTTCTACAGCCTCTGTTGTCTTTATCTGGAACATATCCAGAGATAACCCAGCCACAGCAGGTTTATGGAAGATAGAACCTTGGACATCTCTTTGATGTCAATATCAGAAAAGAAAAAAATATATATGTTTACCTACCCTCCAACCAGTCTAGCCATCTCTCAATAAAAATATCTGGAATTTTCTCTCAATCAAGGCTTTTATGACAATAACAGAATTAGTCATGTATGAACAATGAACACAGCTTACTGTACCTTCAATGAAAGCTTAAATTTTTACATATTGACTCTATAAATCTCAACTACTTTTTGGCCCCATGAAGTTGCCATAAAAGAAATAACAATCCGATGTTTAAAATTAATTTCCAAGTAGTTTAAATCTTTACTGGAGTCACTCAAGGAACGAAAGAAGAATATACTCACCATGCCCAGCAAAACTGATAAAAATGTGTTTCCTCATCTCTTTCTACTTACAGCTCAGTAGTTGCCCTGTATTTCCTGAATCTAAACTTCCCCAAAACTTGACCCACACTTAGCTCCTGCTCCCAAACAGATTCCGTTCAGTTGTTTTTAGTTTCTGTTGGTGGATGAGAGGGAAAGCTCCCTCTTCCTTCCTGCATCTGTTCTGTCCTCCTACCAGCGAGTACTGATAAGGGAGTACTCCCTTACTCCCTTATCAGTGTAAAATCTTACTAGCTCTCCAGTCCTGCAGCAGTTTCTACCCACCATCCTGATCAGAGCCCAGCAGGTAAACAGGATCCTCCATCAAAGCATGGCAATGGGGTAAGAGGAGAGGAAAAGTTGAGAGTCTTCAAACATGAATGGTTTCTCACTTTTATAAGAATTATGCAGAGAAATTCTGACACCATCTCACAAAGTAAGTGACCATCTAGGTATAGCTTATGTGAAAATCATCTGTATCCTGAGCTAGTCTTTGTTGACTTAGTATCTTTTTGTATTAGGTTCTTTATTACTGCTTACCAAAAAAAACCATATTCTGCTTAAGCAATTTCATCAATGTTGACTGTAAGTCCTGTTCTTAGCTGTTGTATTTCTAACGAGGCACACACCACAGTTGGTCGTTCACCTCCCCCGTAGGAACTTACCTTTCTGTGTGTTTGTGGGGCCCTAAGCTTCCTAGCTGTCCCTCTCAGAGTGCTCTTTTTGCCAGCTATTTTAAAAGTGTTTGCACAGTGCACTGTGTGCTGTGCCTGTGTTCACTGCCACCCAGCTGGAATGGGGAAGAATCTACCAACTCCTTTTGATGGGAAAGGAAATTCTTTGTTTGGAATCTGAGTGGCAATGTATTCCCCTATTAAGCAGAAACAGAGGCAATATGACACTGCATGCATAGGATCACCACTCATTATGTCCCTCACAGCAGTAGTTACAGCTAAACTATCCATATACCATTGCATAAATTATCCCTGCAGATAATCTGTGCTAAGCCAAACTCCTTATTAGAATAATGAAAAGTTATAAAGTATATAAAAATATCAAAGAGATTAGCATGTGATGGAGGTCCTTGTCTTGTGGAATCAGGAAAATGAAAAGAATATTGAGCTACAGGCAGAATTTCTGAGAGGTAGACACCTCTCACAGCTCCTGTGGGCATTTTGGGCAGATGTCCCTTGAATCCAAATACTTATCAACAGAATTAGTGTATTTCTCGATTCAACTGGATCTCTAGAATGTGCTTTCTACCATCATGATCAGCCTAGTGCTACGGCTATCAACAGCGTTCTTTGGAAAATGTAACTTGTGAAAGCATCAGGGGAGAAAATGGCTCCTTCTCTTTCATTCTTTGTTTATGCTCTTTGTCCTCTCAAAATGTATTATTCCCGTCATGAGATGAGTATGACTTTAATTGAAATTATGTGCATGTATTACATGACAAACGTAACCCATTAGTTTCACAAATCTTTAGTTCTTTTAGTTGAGTCAATGTTAACAAAACCTGTTTTGTTGACTCCTGGGCTTCAGAAAATTCATACGTGATATTCCTTAAAATAATACATTGGGATTTTTCTTCAGTGTGATTCAGGAATGAATTGAGTAGGTCAAAAGCAGAAAAGAAGTATCTGTGGATGTTGAGAGCCTGGCAATAGAGCACTATAACTGTAAATAGGAAGAAAAACGTGTTTTTACAAGATTAAAAATAGCTACTAGGAGTCTGAGGTGGGAAGATTGCTGGAGGCCAGGAGTTTGAGATCAGTCTGAGCAACACAGCAAGACCTCATCTTTAAAAAAAATTTTTTTTTAATTAGCCTGGTATGGTGGCATGTACTTGTACTAGCTACTCGGGAGGCTGAGATGGGAGGATTGCTTGAGCCCGGGAGTTCAAGATTGCTGAGATTGCAATGAGCTATGATCATGTCACTGTACTTCAGCCTGGGCAACAGAACAAGACCCTGTCTTTAAAAAAATAAAAATTAAAAAAAAATTTTTTTAAAGATTAAAACAATACTTCATATTCAGATCACTTTCCAAAGCAATTCATATAATAAGAAAATCCTACTTACATTAAAGAAACCAAAGATCTAATAACACATGTAGAAGGATGGGAAACAATACCAAAACTTTTTTTTTTTTTTTTCAGACAGTCTTACTCTGTCAGCCTGGCTGGAGTGCAGTGGTGTAATCTCGGCTCACTACAACCTCCACCCCCTGGGTTCAAGCGATTCTCCTGCCTCAGCCTCCCAAGTAGCTGGGATTACAGGTGCCCACCACCACACTCAGCTAATTTTTGTATTTTTAGTAGAGACAGAGTTTCACCATGTTGGCCAGGCTGGTCTCAAACTCCTGACCTTCTGATCCACCCTCCTCGGCCTCCCAAAGTGCTGGGATTACAGGCGTGAGCCACTGCATCCAGCCAACAATACCAAAACTTTTACAAGAAGGAAATACTTCTTATTTGAAAGCAGCATCTAAAATTCCAGAGTGAGCATGACAGAGTGAAAGGAAGTCTGTATTTTCAGTTAC